CTTGAAGAAGACGAAGAAGAAGAAAAAAGTAAAGATACAAATTATGAGCAACAAATACGCATCTATCAACAAGTGAATCTAAGAATCAAATGAATAATTCATCTGATGAACAGAATGAACTGGTGATTATAATAGAATCATGGACATAGAAAGGGAATGGACTGTCTATTCTTGGGGGGAAAGGGGTGTGGGAGATGCAGGAAGAGACCTGACCAAAATCGTGCACCTATGGATGAGGATAGTGGGTGGGGAGTGAGGGTGGAGGGTGGGGAGGGAACTGGGAGGAGGGGAGTTATGGGGGGAAAAAAGAGGAACAAATGTAATAATCTGAACAATAAAGATTTAATTTAAAAAAATAAATAAATAAATGCTCCCTTCTGGTGAAGTTTTGTAAGTCTCATTATCTCCTTCAATGGTATATATAATTTCAAGGTGAATTATAGCATATCTAAAATGGATAAAACCATGGACAAAGGGACCACAGCTTTGGTCGATCCAGTGACAGGCTGTGTATAGGACAGACTGGAATGGGACAAGCCTGGGACAGGGGGATTGATGAAAGCTTAACTAGCAGGCTTTACCAATAGCCCAGGCGGGTGTTAATAAACTCATATAGGAAGAATCAGAACAAAATGGAAGGAATACATGAGAAAGGCCTGTTGGGTGAGTAGATCTGGGGAGAGGGAGAAGGGAAAACTGACGGAGGTTTTGAGCCAGCTAGATGGCAATCACGAAGAATATGTGAATATGAAGGATAAACAGAAATAAAGAATGAGAGTTTGTGGATATGGATGTTGGAAAAATTGCAGTCAGACTTAAAAATCACCCACATCAAGGTGAAAGGTAAAACCATAGACTGTTGGCTTGCCTTTGTGAAAAACAGAGTTAATGAAGAGAAAGAAGTTGAGCTAGAACTTCAGGAACTCCAAGTCACAGGGGCTCCGGACTGTTTAGGGCAGGCAGTGCTCTCAATAGCCCAGGCACTGGGTTAACCCCTTTACAGAGTGCCCTGCTTCATTTACCCTCACAAGAATCCTATGCATCAGTTACCAAATCATCTCTATTTTAAATGTGAGAACTAAAGTACAAAGGGATTGGATTACTTACTTAATTTCACCATGATCAATCTATGGTGAAATTAAATTGTGAAAATCAGACGACCTGAATGCATTCCTTTCTTTTCTTTTTTAATATATTTTTATTGATTTCAGAGAGGCGGGGAGAGGGAGAGAGAGAGAGAAATATCATTGATGAGAGAGAATCATTGATCATCTACCTCCTGCATGCTCTACACTGTGGGGATTGAGCTCGCAACCTGGCTATGTGCCCTGACCAGGAATCAAATCATGACCTCCTGGTTCATAGGTCAATGCTCAACCACTGAGCCATGCCAGCTGGGCTAATTTTTAAAAAAATATTTTTATTGATTCCAGAGAAAAGAAAATTGTGTAAATTTAAGGTATACAATGTAACAATTTGATATATTTGTATATATAGTGAAATGCTCACCACAATAAGGTTAGTTAACACATCCATCACTTCACATAGTTAAAATTTTTTGTTTATTTGTAAGAACTTTAAAAATCTACTCTCTTAGCAACTTTCAAATATGTAATATAGTCACCATGCTGTCCATTAGATCCCTGGACCTATTTCATCTCATAACTGGAAGTTTGTACCTTTTGACCCCCTTCACCAATAGCTCTCAAACCCCCATCTGCTGCCCCCTGGCAACCACCAATCTGTCCTGGTTCTATATCATTTAATTGAAGTTGCACTTGCTGAGAATTAGTTCAAATGCATAAACAGAGGAATCTTATTTCATGATCAGAAGAACATCAGTCTAAGTGAAAACAATGACTTCGTTTAAGAGGTCAAAACCACAAAACTTACCATGTTGAGTTTATAGTAATATAAGGGACAAAGGAATACATCAAGTATCTTCAATTGGAAGCAAAAAAAAAGTGCTAATTTCTACTAAAGAGAAACATGAAATCTTATTTCTGGTTTACTAGCCTATTGTGATTTATCTAAGAATAGAGGAAATAGCCTACTTTGAAAAAGTCAGAATATGTAGGGCTGTGTCTTTATTTCTATATAGATAGCTGGCTGGCTGAAGAGAGGGGATGTGGTTAGCTCTGTAAACTTTAGCCAAAGACATTAACACCTCTTCAAAAATAGATATAGCAATGTTTTCCTTCCTGACATGTAGGTAGCTAACCTGGTTTCACAGCTTTTGGATGAAGTCTATGTACTTGATGATTGCCTGCTAATCTATGAATTATTAAGGACTATTCTGATATATAGAAACCATATGCTTTGTTTCCAATTACCTCCACTCTTTTGTGGTGGGTCATGGGAATGTATACCCTCTCTGGACAAGTTAGGAGTCACAAAATGCTCTAATTTGCAAAAAGTCCTGGAGAAAGTGTAGACCATGTAAGAACACACTCAAACTAAATTCTGAAAAAAGAGTTAGCCCACTTACACTTTGGTTTGCCAGGAATTATCCTGATGCAACAGGGTTTAAATTTCTCAATGATAAATGTTCATTTAGCTTTATGGCAGGGGTCTGCAAACTTAAATGGCCAAGAGTATATATTTTAAGCTTTAAGGGGCCATAGGGTGTCTGCCATAACTACTCAACTCTGCCATAGCCATGCTAAAACAGTCATAGATAGTATGTAAACAAGTGAGTGTAGCTGCATTCCAATAAAACTTTATTTACAAAAAAAAAAGAAAAAAAGAAGCAGGCTGGATGGGCCTGTGGGCTACAGTGTGCCAACCCTGGCTCTAAAGTGACAGTTCTTAAATTTGATCTGTATATCAAATCGCCCGGAGAGCTGGTTAAAAGGTAGGAACGTAGGGGGAATCAGCAATGTGTACGGTCCACAAGCGGCACGTGACTCACTTTGGAAGTCAATGTGGCACGCAGCTACTTCACCTAAGGTGGATGGCCCTCCTGTCCTGGATGTGGGCCAGCACTTCCTGCATTCTGTGGCAGAAAAAATGCAGCAACTGTTTTATCTTTCTTTGACCTTTCTAATAGAAGGGCAAACTTCCAGTTTCACTTCCAACCTTGAAAATGCATAAAATAATCCTGCTCAGATGAAATTAACATGAAACTGAGACTATGAATTTAAAAGAAAATCCTCAACTTAAACTAACAAGATTTCCCAACCAAAAATCTCTCTTGGCTACAAAATTAGTGGACAAGATTCTCACCCAAGATAGAGCTAAATCTGAAGGAATAGTTTACTGTGTGCTCCCTCCTCCCCCAAATAACTCCAGCAAAAGCCTGTCCTGGAATTCCACTGCTAACAAGGCACCGCTTTGTGTCTGGAGGTCTTTGCTTCAACAGAACCTCATTAAAACTCACATCAAGCCCTGGCTGGTTTGGTTCACTGGATAGAGTGTTGGCCTGGGGACTGAGGGGTCCCGGGTTCGATTCCGGTCAAGGGCGTGTGCCTTGGTTGCGGGCACATCCCCAGTGGGGGGTGTGGAGGAGGCAGCTGATTGATGTTTCTGGCTTTCTGTCCCTCTCCCTTCCTCTCTGTAAAAAATCAATAAAATTATTAAAAAACACACACACACAAAAAAAACTCACATCAAAACAGAAGTACAAAATCTCTGTGGACCTCTCGAAGCTCCTCCCAACTTTATTGATAGGAAATAAATTATCCAACTAAGTTCAGTTGTGTCCAAAAGAAAGTGATTTTTGATTTGCTTGTTTCTGTTGTAATTGCCAGAAATCAGTCACCTGATCAGTCAGAGAGGAAGCGATGTTCAGGCTGGGATGGAGCTCCGCCTCTTCTTCAGCTCTCCAGATTTTCCTAGAAAGGACAAGGAACAGCCAACAGTCACAGGGATGCTCATCGGGGGCTTCCTAAGGAAAGCAGGAGTGATCTGAGGCTCCACCAGGGAATGCAGCTCTTGCTGGGACTTGTGCTGACCCTGCTGTGAAGGGGGTGCTCTCTGAGAGCAGATGGTCTAATGATGACTAAGACCGGGCTCAGAACGCCTTGTATAGCTATCGCCCCAGCAGATACCACTAATGTACCAGCTAACAGAGGGAAGCCAGGCTGAGACTAGAACTCAACCAATATACTTTATAGATGTGTAGGGAGTAGAGATCTGCATTATATAGTTAGCAGTCAATATTTTAGGCAGCATGACTCTGGAGTCCAACATCCACAGGCTGGGCTTCTGAATGCTCCCCTTTTCCAAGGCAAAAGCAATCCTGGCATTTTCAGCAAAGTGGGGAGCCATTTTCCTGCGTGGTTTCCAACTTACAGAAAGAATCATAAGTTGGAGTCCCAGGTATTAGTAGCAAATGGCTAGCTAAGCCAGGGGCCCCAACATACTTACCCAACCTCCCTGGCCCTGGATGAACTCCCGGATGGCGCCATTCCCATTGATCATATCTATCATCGGGGTTGCCACCTGTCTTGCCATTTCTGGAGCTAGGCGGACCACACATTCAAGCAGTTTCACTGAAACTGCCAAAAAGGCTCTCTCATAGGCTAAGCTGGAATTCTGAGCACACCAGGCCTTGCTGAGAGATTTTACTGTGTTCTGAAGGACAGCTCCTACCTGGGGAGAAACATAGGCTATATCAGTGGAGTTTCACGAAAAAGTGCACGAGTCTGCAGGTATGGAATCTAGTAAAAGCAAGTGTTCCCCAGAGAGCAGCCAATGTCCACTGGTTGTATCTAAAGTAATGTGCGGGAGTAAATGGATAGGCTTTTCTCATTTTAGTATTTTATTTATTGTAATGACTATTAGAAAAACCAGAAGTAGCTCATCAAACCCATGATTTCAGATATTATTGCATAGGATAAACCAAATAATTGAAAGAGAGACATGCTTTGAAAGAAAATTATTAAGTACATGATAGTACAGCTGGTCATATTGTTTGAACGATTGAAGTCTGGGAAGTTACAAAGTAAGAAAAAAAAAAATAGTAGTCTTCCCGCCGAAACCGGTTTGGCTCACTGGATAGAGGAGTAGTTTTCCCCAAAAAATTTGGTCCAAAAGCCATTAGGTAGGCCTAGCTGGTTTGGCTCAGTGGATAGAGGGTCAGCCTGCAGACTGAAGGGTCCCGGGTTTGATTCTGGTCAAGGGCATGTACCTTGGTTGCGGGCACATCCCCAGTGGGGAGTGTGCAGGAGGCAGCTGGTCGATGTTTCTCTCTCATCGATGTTTCTAACTATCTCTCTCCTTTCCTCTCTGTAAAAACTCAATAAAATATATTTAAAAAAAAAAAAAGAGTAGTCTTCCCAAAAAAATTTGGTCCAAAAGCCATTAGGTAGGCCTAGCTGGTTTGGCTCAGTGGATAGAGTGTCAGCCTGCAGACTGAAGGGTCCCGGGTTTGATTCTGGTCAAGGGCATGTACCTTGGTTGCAGGTTCCCTGGCCCTAGTTGGGGCGCATGCAGGAGGCAACCAATCGATGTGTCTCTCTCACATCCATGTTTCTTCCTATCTTTCCCTCTCCCTTCCACTCTCTAAAAATAAATGGAAAAAATTCTTGGGTGAGGATTAATAAAAAAACAAAACACAAAACTATTAGGTAGGGCCAAGCAAGATCTATTGCAATGTGGTATAGAGGGAGGGGGCATGGCCATCAGAGCAGGGTGTCAGAGCCCAAACAAGCTGAGAAGGCATCCACCTAAGGGTAGCTAGATCTTGATATACAAATACTGTTTTCCATGAAAAGGAACCAGAGCTCCCTGGAGAGTGGCTGACTTCCGGATAAAGATGAGAAAATACAGATCTTCTGATAGAAATTAAGGAAGTACTCAGAAAATGACAAGGACATGCCAAAAAGAAATAGTCCAGATTGAAAGGACTCCCACTAGCCAGAGCTGGGTAAGGTTAACATTCAAATAAACAATGACAGTAACAGATTATAACCCATTGAATAAAGTAGGAATTCATAAATCTATGTTGATGTAAAAAATAAATTAATAGATTGAAATTTTGATGAGATATGGGATTTGTACATGGTTTCAAAGTTCTGCCCTATAAAACAATTAATTACAGAGGTGAAAAGAGTAACTTTACAGTGGAGAAGCCTTGCAGACACCATTGGGAGTGATTCAATTTACCACCAGTAATGGGACCAACTGAAACCAGTGCCACTTAATAGAATGACAACAACACAGCAAGACTTCTATGATTTTCCAAAGGTACATACCCTAAATCTATTCAAGAGAAAACGTCAACCACACCCAAGTTAAGGGACATTCTACAGAATAAATGAACCATAATCTTCAATCTCAAGGTCACAAAAATCAGTGAAAGACTAAGAAGCTATTACAGATTGAAGGAGACTAAAAGGTCATAACAACTTAATGCAATATCTGTGAATCTGGCCTATGTCTTTCTGCTATTAATGACATCATTGGGACAACTGGCAAAATTTGAATGGAATCTTAGGATGAGATGAAAACGTATCCATGATAATATCCTGGTTTTGATGGTTAGATTGTGATTATATAAGAGAATGCCCTTGCTTCAAGGAAAATAAAAGGATTAGGGGGTGATGGAATATCATGTTGGCTATTTATTCTCAAATGATTTAAGAGGGAAATTCTTTGTATAATACAAGCAACTTTTCTGTGAGTTTGAGGCTGTTTCAAAATAATCTTAAAATTAAAAAATTAAAAGTAGATTCAGCTCTCAGCTACCGAGGAAAGCATCAGTATGAGCAACTAGGAGTAATAAGGCTAGTCCTGCCTGAATGAGTAGTAGGTATACTCCTCACACTATGTACTCACAGATACAGAGAACAAACTGACAATTGCCAGATTGGAGGAGATTTGGGGGTTGGTGAAAAAGGTGAAGGGATTAAGAAGTACAGACTGGCAGCAGCAAAATAATCACTTAGGGATATAAAGTACAGCATAGGGAATATAGTCAATAATACTGTAATAACTATATATGATGCCAGGTGGTTGGTGGAAATACTGAGGGAACATTTTGTAAAGTATATAATTGTCTAATCACCATGCTATACACCTGAATATATTACAAAATAATATTGAATGTAAACTGTAATGGAAAAATAAATTTTAAAGAAGAAAAGAAAAAAGAAGTTACCTACTGTGTAACCCAATTAATTTTTTTCTTAGTTCTCAGTTTCCTTTCTGCTTAAATGGGTATCAAGCTAGAAAATACTTTCTGAGGACCTATTATGTATCAGGCACTGTTCTAGATTGTGTAAATACTGCAGTGAACAAAATGGGTTAGGTGTTTGCTCTCACAGTGTTACATGCAGATGGGGAGAGGTTGTGCTTTGAACAACAGTTTCTATGATACCTCATAAAGTGGTGTAAGGCTTACATGAGATAATAAGTGTAAAGCATTTACAAAATCCCCTGACACCTGGCTAGTGAAGAATTCATATTAACCATCACTACTGATGTTAATCAGCAACATTATAGAATATTGTCTATGGTCTATCTTTATATCCAATACAGAGCCCAAGTGCTTCTGTCCGTAATCAGTATTCTGTTGAAGAGCCAGATACTCCCTAGTGGGCTCCTGTACCATTATCCTTCATTGCATCAAACTTGTCCACTGCCCATCCTTCCTAATGTAATGTCACTGCTGGAGGAAAAAAGGTGCCCACATCCAAAAAAAGAAGCATTAAAGCAGGTGCATAAAAGAATAAAAAGTGCCTTATATATGCTCTATGCCACCAAGCACAGCTTTGACAAAAAAACAGTGTTAACAATGTGAAGGCTGACCAGCCTATGCCCAAAGCTTTTCATCTCAATACCACTTCGCCTTTGCTTAACTCCTAAAGAATTGGCCATCGGAAATTCGTGCTGTATCCTCTTGGATAAATATAAGTCCCCAAATCTCTCACAGAACATTTCTGGTCACACTCCTGGAGCAGTAAGAAAAGGGTATCTGAAATAGGAAAAAAGCAGTAAATAGAAAACAGTAGGAATTTGACCTGTCCCCGAGCAGTTTCTGCAATGACACTTCTGGCAGAAGCTTCCAGTTCTCCATTGAACTCGTCCCCCAACATCCGAAGGCGACCAGCAATGATGGCCACGTCAAAAGAGCAAGCCTCTGCTCACA